ACTGAATAATTGAGGCATGAGACCTACAATCAACAGTTTGAGAAGCTGAGCACAAAACAGGATCAAACAACCTTCAACAACTGTCTAAACCTCAAATCATTGCAATGAGCACAAATGCCTGAGAACTGATCCTAAATTTCCACCAGACAAGAGAGGAATTACTCTCGGAACATGATCATGATAATCGATTCACAATTTAAACACATGATCGCAGGAGTATATCGTCCGAACAAGAGATTAGGACTCAGATTTGAATAGCACGAAATCAAACGTCTAATTATGAATCAACAATTCAAACAATCCTCAAACATTGAAACTGTATCTCGAATTTGGAAACACAAAAAAACAGCGAAATACCTATGAACAGCGTTCGAGGATCAAATCCTACGAACGTGATGACTCCTCTGTTTGGTTACAACGCCTGATCGGGAGGAGCGCTTGGTGATTGTGCGATGAATGATGATGATCGCGAGGTCCAACTCGCCGGATTATGCCTGGTCGCCGAATTTCTCTCCTGGTTAACTCTTTGATCTCACTTTCCCGCTCTCTCCTCCTTTCTCCTCTCACGTCCTAAGTTTTGTACTCAACTAATGGGCCGGGTTGGTTATTTTCACTTTGGGTCGTCTAGCCCGATTCTAACAATTAACCCATTGGACCTAAAATAACACAAGAATTGCACTCTAACCTCTAAGATGGTCAACGTTCTTTCTTGATCTTAAATTAAACCAAATTCTCACTAATGGTGACCCAAAGATTAGTAAATGTAAGAGAATTTAAAGACTACAAAAGAGCCTAACATTAATCTCTTAACAAAACGAAAACCCATCTTTGTTAGAGGATTTCCAAGAGATATGCTAAATTTTGAGAAGTTAAATGCTATTTTAACTTCTCAAAAGTGATATTGAGAGCTACTTTTTCACCACCGCTTCAACCATGTCTTCTACTCTATTTTTTTTATACTTTTATGTACTATTTGAGTATATAAAATTAATTGATTTTTTTAGTAGAATATGCCTTCATGAGCATTATTCAGCACACCATCAAAGTAAGAACCCTAATTGTGCTTTCAACAAAGATTCCAATTACGTTCATGACTGTGTTATATATTTTAATGCAATTTTTTTTAACTATTTGACCGGTGGTTTCATAATAATCATCAAAGAAGTTTGGTGGTGCGACCATTTGATTGACTTTGTTATGAAAAAATATCCGTTTTAACGGGATTCTAAAGAGCAACGCCCCCTTGGCGGGGGTCTGGGGCAGCGCCCTCAAGCGCCCCCCACTGGCTGGGTCGAGATGCTATGTTAAAAAGAAAGTACATATATTTTATCAAAAAAGATAAGTAAAATAATTTTTAATAATTAAAATTCATCAAAAAAGTGTAAAATTTGATTAAATCAATGACATACTACTGTATGACATGTCATAAAAATAAGAACGATGATTAAATTACATAAAAAAAATAAGTAAATTCTTTCGTGGACCTAAAGTCCATGACCATTATATGGACTTTAATACGGAGTACATTTATAGTACAAAAGAAGTGATTTTCTGAAAAAGGAAAATACACACATGCAAGCCCGTGAAATATTCACATTTTAAATTAAATAATGAGAATATGTAAGCACCACTCAAAAAAGCAATACAATTCTTTGAAACTAAAATCTGTTAGGTACATGCACAACACATAGTCAAAAATGACGGAAACTAAAAATGTCAAAAATCACATTCCAGATCTCAATACCTCATCATATCTATTGCGGAACATATATGATCTACCTCCTCCGTCTAATGTCCAAAGTATTATTTATTCGCTTGCTTTCTTTTTCTCCATTCCTTCAAAAATCATTCATGAATGAATAATACTCCCTCCGTCCCATAAAAAAGGTTACGTTTCATTTTTTTTGCGCATCTCAAAAAACACGTCCATGCACATCTAAAATGCCTAAAAATTACCACATCTACTCTTATTGTGGGTAGGAGTCGTTTTGAAAGTTTTTTTGACATTCGAGACGATATAGAAGGATTTTGTGGGATGCGCAAAAATTGAAACGTAACCTTTTTTTGGGACGGAGGGAGTATGTATTATGTAAAATATTGCTTTAAAAAAAATATTTACAAAGTTGTACGGAAGTAAAAAAAATACTAAATATATATTTCAAAATTCCATTAAAATTTCTACAAAATAAAAATGTGATAAGAATACTTTATTTTATCAAATAATCAACCAAAACACATAAATAAATAAAAGTTATCGAAGAGACCAAGAATTGTAACAGAAAAATTCTTTCTGAGATGGAGAGAATATATTTTTAGTTTAATTTCTTAGACCAAAACACACTAATTTTTATTCTTATAGAAATAGATATTTTTTTTCATGTTTTTTTTATTTTGTCAATTCTCAAATAAATTAAATTTAACTTAACTTTAGTCAAATAATCACAAGCTGAAACGAAATACTCCGTATTAACTAAATAATGAACGTGCACGTGCCGGATAATTCTTCTTGTTTTTATACAAAATAGTACTCCGTAGCAATCTTTTGACTTTAAATTAGGCCATGTTTTTCCTAATCTATTTTTTATTTTTTATTTATTCTTATTGAAATTAGATCAGATCAAAAATAGGTTTAATTATAATTACATTCAGATTAGATCAAAACTTATTTCAATAAGATCATAATCAATCAGATCAAGTAAATAGAGCATGGTCTTAGTCACATTTCTTACAAAGATCACTCATTCAACATAAATTTTAATTAAAGAGAAGATTAATAAAACTAGTTGGCAAAGAATATCATATCTAAGGCCCAATTTTCACATTAACTTTAGAGCTTCTTTGATCAGCAATATAGATATGGCATCTCATATCTTACATACGGAGTATCAATTTCTTAAAAACGATGTTTAGTTAAATAAAAAATAAATAAATTTTGAAATCTTCATCATCCCTCTTTGCATCTTTTTCCAAAGCGTATGTTTCTTATTCTCTCTCCCTTTCTTTAATCATCTTCTTCATCATTAATTTTGGAGTTTTTATTAACAAAAATTTTTAAATCCCAAATTGTCATATCTTATACTTCCTCCATTCCATAAAGTTATTCTCATTTTCATTTTTAGAAAATTTAAAGGAAAGAGATAGTTTGTGTTGATTTTACAAAATAGGTAAAATATGATGTAATAGGTAAATTATTTGTAAAAGAATTATGATATGATAGGTAGGGTAAGAATTAATATAAGTGCTTTTTAATAGAAAAAGAATGACTATATGCAACACAAAAAGAAAGAAGAAAGGACTTTTTGGGACGGATGAAATTGAAAAAGGTATATGTATTTTTTTAAACTTGGTCATATGTTTTTAAAACTTCTATGTTATTTTATTTTTACAATTCATTGATTTCCAAACTCTTTTTTCAGATATTAAAACTCATATGATTTCACCTAAATTATTTTAAAATTTATATTTTATCATATATCCAAAACTCATCAAAGAAGTCACACGGCTTCCGTGTTTAATTCCAACTTTTGGAAAAGACTACTATGTTCGATTATTGCATGCCTTCCCATTTGACTTTCCAAGTTTTCTAAAGCAACAATATTCTGACCATTAAAATCTACATTTATATTCATCAAAGGAGTATAAATATATTGAATAATATTTTCAAAATACAAAATAAATATATTGATATATATTAAATGGATAACACAACACAAATACACAATTCATTTTTGCCGTATATTGTGGTCAAAGATTAAAATAGTTGGCCAAAAAAAATCAATTGAGAAGTTATTTCTCGGGCAAAGGAGTATCGAACAGTAGTTTTTGGTGTTAATATTGTCAAATTATCCTACACAATTTAGAAATTATGTAAAATACAAACATTCGTCACAGAATTCAAAATTAATTAAAAATAAATTTTACTCCCTCAATCCCAATTTTCTATTTGGTTTTCAACGCAACACTTTTGACTGTCAAGGGAGGAGGGAGGGATGGAAGGAAGGACTATACTACCTACCACATTTGAAATGTGGGTTAATTGCAATATAAATAAGGATGCAATGGCTCTCATCATATCAAACAAAGTTCATCAATATATTTCTCTTTCTTTGCTTAAAATAAAAAAAATAATAATAATACTTGGTATATGATGGGTGGTTCTATTGGGAGTGTGCTCAGCCTAGCACTAAGCCTCATAGCACTAACCCTTGCCGGCTACTCAATTTACCAAAACACCCACACGGCCATTATTGAGGGCCTGCAGCTTAATAAGGTTATTACCGACACTTTGGATGAGTCGCCGGAGAACATGCTTGTTCTGCCGCCGCTCGATAAATCTTCCGGCAAGCTTTCCGACGAAGCGTGTGTATTCTCCGCCGTCAAAGAAGTGGTGGTCGCCGCCATTAACAAGGAGGCTCGGATGGGTGCCTCTCTCATCCGTCTTTTCTTCCATGACTGTTTTGTCGATGTAAGTACAAATTAAACGGAATAATTATTTATCCTAATTACTCCCTATTTAATTTTTCACAGTAATAGATTAACTAATTTAAACAAGTACGGAGTAATACTTCGTATTTTTTTATTAGACAAAATTATTTTTTTTTAAAAAAAGTAAGGGACTTAATTGTGTATAATTATGAAGGCTTTACTTAGAAGCAACGTTTTGGGACGATTATGAGAGCAAAATTAGATTAACAGAAAATCAAAATTTCTGAGAGCTAATAAATTTCATTCAAACGATGATGACGGTGGTTAATAAGTTAAATCAAAGAAAAAGGCCAGGTGAGAACATAGCTAAATTACGGGGTACTTTGTATGTCAACTCTTTAATTTTTATGCCCAAATTAATAATTTATTGTATTTATTTAGAATTCAGAAAAGGATCACTGCACGTGTTAATTTTTGTCTCAATCTGGTCCTAAGATAGGTCGGCCTGTGCTCGGTGCCGAGAAGAAGATATTAGAGATAATAGAACTCATTCGACAAGATTCGACCCTAGGATCAAATAGGCTTAACATTCTCTCTTAGACCAGTTTAGCTACTCATGCGAGCCAAAATTTTATATTCAAAAGGAATCATCATATCCCATACCATGTGTTGTTAGTTACTCCGTATTTAGATTTGATTAGAAGAAAGAGAAACATTCTACACCACATACTACCTCCGTCCCAGAGTACTTGTCCACTTTTATTTTTCCACACCATTCAATACACTTCTTTAATCCATTTTATCTTGTAATTTGTATATTAAAAAATTATAGAAATTATATATTATTAATCTATATGTTAAGACAAATCAAACAAGATCACACATGACTATATATAAGCTTACACATTGAGAGAATTTGATGAGTCAAAGTGCTTAGATGAACAATTCCAAAAGTCAAAACTGGACGAATACTCCGGGACGGAGGGAGTATTTTTTACTGTATTTCATAAAAAAAAATTAAAAGGTGAGATAATTATTTTTAGAAAAAATTAAAAAGATAAGTAAGATAACTAATTCATGACAAGAAATTATTCATTTTTTTATTAAGGAAAAATTACCCAAAATAATCCCAACTTTATCCGGTCTTTCAAAAATAATCCCACCTTTCACTGTGATGCATAATAATCCCAACTTTACTGAAATTTGTCAGTTTTGGGTCACCGTTAAGTTTCTAACGGAGGGTTAACGGAAATGCCCGTTTTCGACAACAAAATGAATGTTAGGATTATTTTTGATGAATTTTTGTTTTTTAATTTTTTTTGAAATTTTTATTTAAATTTTTTGAATTACTTTCAACCTCCATTTCTTTTTCTTTTTTAAAGATTATTCTTACCTTAGAAAAAAATAAATATAAAAAATAATGAAAATGAGAAAAATAACTAAAACTATACAAAATTAATCAAATAAATAATGTAATCAATAGAAATTAAACAGAAACTGGTAAGAAATAAAATAAATATATACGGAGTGGTGGGTTTTAACATTTTACACACTATACGGAGTCTTAATATACTACTTATTTTTTAAAAGAACAAGCCGTCCGGTAAAGTTGGAATTATTGTAGATATTTTTTTCTAAAAAATAAAAAGTGATATGTTAATACTTTGTATAATGCGTAAAATATTAAAACCACCCGTATATTTTTATTTTACTTTTACCAATTTCAAGTTAGTTTCCATTGGTTACCTTATTTATTTTATTATTTTTGTATCGTTTTAGTTACATTTCTCATTTTTTACTTTTTTATATCTATTATTTTTATTTTTTAAACTAAGACTAATCTTTAAAAAAGGAAAAAGAAATGATGATGGAGGTAAAAAGTAATTTAAAAAATTTAAATGAAAAATTTAAAAAAAATAAAAAAATGAAAATTCATCAAAAATAATCTCAACTTTCATTTTGTTGCCTAAAACGGGCATTTCCGTTAACCCTCCGTTAGAAACTTAACGGCGACCCAAAACTGACAAATTTCAGTAAAGTTGGTATTATTATGCATCACAGTGAAAAGGTGGGATTATTTTTGAAAGATCGGATAAAGTTGGGATTATTTTGGGTAATTTTTCCTTTTATTAAAAGAATAAAAAGTGTACTCATAGAAAAATTGTGTGTGTGTGCATTGACAATAGCCCATATGCATCCTTAGATATTTTTGGAGCAATAAATTGTGTCGGGCACGCGATTATTGTAGTGTGGAATAATGGTAGGCCCTCGGGGGTGGGCAAGTAGGGTTGGACAAATTTGGAGAGTCTTGATATAAAAAACTCGTGACATCAAAAGTGGTCTCATGCTTTGTACTCTCTACCTTTAAAAATTACTTTTTCGTTTCATGTTACAATATTAGACTGAAGTTATTCTTAATTTATCATACAAAAGAATAGCGTGAAATTAAAAAATAAAAATTACTTATTAAAATTACGTTAAAAGATCTACAAAACTAGTGTGACATTACTATATTTTATCAAATAGATTATGAAAATAAGGCAATAAAGAAAATAAAATTTGACTATATGAACATTTATTATCTATTTGTGTCTCTGCAAAGTATGAGGTCACCCATATCGAATTACCCTCCTATGGTCCAATTTGGACTCACTCATAAAGTGATCAACCTTAATTTTGAACTTCTCCTTCACTAAACTACTAAAGTATGGTTGCTTTTTTTTTTTTTGAACAACTATTGTTTTAGACAACTGAAGCCTCACAACAAATATGGATGGAGTTGTTGACTCATAGTGTATCACTAGATTAAGAAAAATATAAATAAATACTTCAGTTATAATCGAGTCAATATCACTAAAAGTATCGTTTTTAAGGATTCCTTGAACAACTTTAATTTGAAGAACGTGTAAGCTTTTGTTTTAATTAACTTCATTTTATTTATATATTTGTATAAAAATTAAAAGTAAAAAATAAAACTTATAGATTTAAAAATTATTATCTTCGTTTGAAAATGATTTTCCATTAACATTTCACATACTCCGTACAAGTCAAGCTTTATTACCCGTAACTTTCTTTACTTATTTACAAGTGAGCCACAAAAAGTTTTCAAAAAAGGAAAGAGCAAAATTAATTTGGAACGAAGTGAGTATAATAAAATAGTCACGCCAACTATTGTTTTGTAAAAATTTTAATTCTATCATAATACATATATTAGACGTTATAATCAATAAAGGGAGATTAAAAACGTACATGTAAATAAAAATTATCAGAAATCTAAAATAATAAATATGAGAATAATTTAGAGAGGGACCGACCAGATAGATAGAGTATATTCTTAAGGCTAAACAAAAGGTTTTACATTAAAACTAAAAGGAAAAATTTACCCCAATTCTCTTAGCGTTAGATTTAACCGATTATATAATATCATTCCCAAATTCACTTTTAATTAAATGCCAATACTTTGAGGAGTACTACTATGTCTAGATTAAACTATATCATTATTAAGTGTTATTTAGACTATATCATTATTAAGTGTTATTTGGGAAATAAAATAGTTGAAGTGCTATTTAGTGAAATGGTTTAAGTTTTAGTGCTATTTAGTGCTAATATTTCTTGAAGAATTTACCAAAATATTACTAAAACATAATGACATTCTCAAAATAGCATCATATGTGTTTTTCCCAATGTAGCACTTTTAGTCATTATCTATCCATTTGTCATTATTCAATTAAATGTTCGCCATCACTGGACATTATTCCTCCTTCTGAACATTATTAAGTGCTATTTAAGAATAAAATAATTTAAGTGTTATTTAGTGAAATTACTTTAGTTTTAGTGCTATTTAGTGCAAATATTTTTTATGAATAATATTTTCGGTCTTGGAATGAATTGCAGGGTTGCGACGCAGGGCTTCTTCTAAAGGATACCCCGACTTTCACCGGCGAACAGACTGCCATCGGCAACAATAACTCCGTCAGAGGTTTTGAGGTCATAGACAATGCCAAACAGAACGCAAAAACCAAATGCCCCGACACCCCTGTCTCTTGCGCAGACATTCTTTCCATCGCTGCCCGCGATTCCTTCCAAAAGGTAGTTAACTTCATCCCGCTAAGCTTACATATTAATCTCTTCGTTTTTGAAACACTTTCTCTTTTATTTTTTTCTATTTCCCTAAAACACTTTAATTTTTTATTACAACCCACTTTTACCTCTAATTTCTTTCTTACCGTATTTAAAATATAAAAATCATTCTTGGGCCTACCGTTTCAAAATCAAACCTTTTGTGTATCTATTTTGTAGTTCACGGGAAAAACATACACAGTGAGTCTTGGCAGAAAAGATGCAAGAACGGCGAACTTCACCGGAGCTAATACCCAACTCGTCGGGCCGTCGGAGACCTTGGCGTCGCAGGTGAAGAAGTTCGCCGACAAAGGGTTTAACCAAACGGAGTTGGTGGCGCTGTTGGGCTCGCACACAATAGGGTTCGCCAGATGCCCGCTCCTATGCGTCAGCTCGTTCGTGAACCCGGCCCGGGCCTCCGCGTTGCAATGCAACTGCCAGACAACCCCGAACGCCACGGGACTGGTCGGCCTGGACCCCACACCCGCGAAGTTCGACCAGCGTTACTACTCCGACGTGGCAAGCGGCCGGGGCCTTTTGTTCTCCGACAATGAGCTGATGAAGGGGAACGCCACCAGCGCCGCCGTGAAGAGGTACCGGGACGCCATGGACTCTTTCCTGGCCGACTTTGCGGCGGCCATGGTGAAGATGAGCAAGCTGCCGCCGTCCCCCGGGGTCCCGCTCGAAATCCGGGATGTTTGCAGCAAGGTGAATGCCAACTCCGCCGGTGTTGCATCCTTCTGAAGGCCGCGCGCGGCCCCGTCCGGCCGCCGGCCGGCGATCCTTTGGGTTTTTCCCCCATGTTTTAAGCTAAGGAATAAATGAATGCAGGAAGGCCGGTGGGTATTTGTGTAAATGCTCTTGATGACTCTTTGTAGTGTACTAGTAGCACTACACAAAATTAATGTACGGCACATGCGTGGACAATCAATAATAGAAATGCTAAATATGGTTTTATTTCCTTTTTTTGTTTTATTTCCTTAACAAATCATATCACTCTCGGTTTGTTTGTGAATAACGTTAAAATTAGCGTTAACGTTTTGAAAAAGTTATCTACGGATAGTGCTAAGCGTTAGTGTTTTCAAAATAAATTGTAACATTAAAATTTTATCTAAAATGTTGACGCCAATCTCTAACGTTGTTTTTAAACATGATCTCTATCTTTGTCCAAATTAATTGCTTAATTGCTAATCCTGTAGGATTTGAAACATAAAATTTATGAATGTATTCCTGCCGTAAAATATAAGAAGTCATTCAATAATTTGAAATTTACAACAAAATTCTAAAAAAAAAAGAAAAATCTTGTCTGTTTTACATAGTAACAAAGGATTCAAATACTCCGTAAATAAGTAGTGAAAGAAGATATTGGCCCTATTAGGCATCACTATGGTTAGAGGTTGACGATAGTGTTTTGAAAAAACTATCTGATGATAGCTTTCAGCATTGGCGTTTTAGAATTAATCTACAATATTGAAATTTAATCTAAAATGCTAATCAAAAACGTTTTTTTCTCAAGCAAGGCCATAGACGGACTAAAATAATCTCATTCCATTTTATTTGTCTAATTTAATTTTTTGCTGTCAAACTGGAAGACTTTTTGTCATTTATTAAATAAAATTTACATTACTAATCTTACATTTCTCGATAACTTATGTTTGCATCAGTTATTCATTGATCTTTTTGTAAAATAAAACATTCTAGAATAGTCATATCTTGTTTTGTAAAACTTTTGATATCGTTTGAAATTATATAATATGTACTTTTTATTTATATACCAATTTATAAATAAAACTATTTCAAAAAAAATAAAAATTTCCACATTCTTTCAAATAGGAAAAAATTGCAACCGAGGAGTATCGAGTAAAAAATTAAAATAAGAGAGTGAGGGAGTAAAATACTAAAATGTCAATTTTTGTTGGCCAACTTTGGACTTGTTCCACAAACATTAAAGTCATACTCCGTAATAACGTCAACGGTTTGGCTAAAAATAGTTAGTCGCCCCAACTTGCCCCCCAATCATCCGTGAAACACGGCAAAATTCGATGCTTGAATTTGAATCATGTTACCCGGCCGGTCTGGCCGAGCCGCACATGCAGCCGACCGGAATCTTGAAAATGTTGAGGTCAACAACGGCATACGGGATAACCGGAGTACTGTATATATACAAAGAATTGATCATTTGGATAAGATTGATTGATAGAGGTACGGCGTACATATATAATTTCATGGGAGAAGGACCAAATTAGGAGCAAAAGTTATGTTATATTCGTAAATAAGAGCTAAAACTTAAACTCCTCTAAATAAGAGTAATTAATTAATTTTTGTCTTCAATTCTCTCTTTTCCCTTCCTTTGTTTTCTTTTTCTTTTCTTGCTGCATGTGTGTGTATTTACACACTTAAGGGGGGCTGAGACTTAGCATTGAGTTATGGGTAGGAATTAGAATAAATTAGGAAATTGATTATTTCTTATTATTATATTATAAAATCTTTATATTTATTTATTGAATTATAACATATATTTTGCTCATAACTTTTTACACCAAAGTCTAAACTTAACAAATTTATATTGTTAGTCACCTTTTTACAAGATCAACCCAATTACCTACTACCTCCGTCCCGCTATATTTGTTCAGTTTTGACTTTTGGAACTGTTCATCTAAGTACTTTGACTCATCAAATTCTCTCAATGTGTAAACCTAAATATATAGTCATGTGTGATCTTATTTGATTTGTCTTAACATAGAGATTATTAATATATAATTTCTATAATTTTTTAATATACAAATTACAAGATAAAATGGATTAAAGAAGTGTATTGGATTGTGTGCAAAAATGAAAGTGGACAAATACTCTGGGACGGAGGGAGTATTTTTTAAATTCAAAGGTTGGCTTTACAAATAGTTTATATTTTCGAGTCAAAAAATAAAATAAGACATTATATTTATTTTTTTTTATCAAAATAACGGCTAACTACTAAGCCGGCTATTTTTTTTACCCAAAGTTAAAATATTGTCAATAAATGATTCTTTTAACTATATCGTCAAGGGACGACAACAAAAGCACACCCAAAGCTCAGTACCACAAACAAATACGGCTATTTCTACCTTGCTCCTGAATATTTATATGTGTATCCTAATTGTTAACTCAAATATTCTGATATGATGATTTGACATTCTTAGGAAGAGAAAAAAAACTTGATAAACATCAACTTTAAGTGTTACCTCAGGCCCATAGAGTGTTAAACAAGACCACACTTAATGCCAAGATTCTTAATCAATAAATCTATGAGACCTGATTAATACCTTGTCGATATATGTCAAAATTATTAAACAATAAATAGAAACTCAGTAAATTCATACAGTAAAATGTCTATACAGTGTCAAACATGACCACATTTAACGCCACACGTAATAACATAATGACAATCATGTCATTGTATAAAGTCATACGTGCAAATGCATAATGCTAAACCAATAGATAATGCCAAATATGACAATATATAGTGCCACACTTGGCAATGTATAATGACAGATATGCCAATGTATAGTTTTACAAATAACACATATGTTAATGCATAATCTCAAAAAAGTTAAACATCAAGAAACTCTATTTGCCAACACAATAATCATTTAGTTTCAATATATGTTTTACGGAGTATAAAATGATTTTCTAAGAAGTAAATTTAGATTTAAAATCAAATGTCACAACCTATGTGAAATTGAATATAAAATTGATTAAAAGTTTCAAACTCACGCAAGGCTAAAAGAATTAGTACCAATTTTACAAAATAATTCCCGAAAAAGTAAATTTTTAGATTTAAAATAAAATTTAACTACTTATGTCAAATTGAATATCTATCAAATTGAATTCAAACTTACCCAAGGGGACGGAGGCATCCAAGCGATATCATGAAAAATAGAAATGGTGAAGAGGGGTGGAAGAAGATTGTCTGTATGAGAGAAAAGGAGATCCGCAATAAGGAGATGGTAGCGGCGGAGAGGGGATTGGGATTAATTTGACAGCGTCAGCAACTGAGATTAGAACAAAGAAGATCGTAAAAGGATGGGATTGGGAAGGGGCCGGGTGACTTTTTCGACCGCATAGGGCTGGGATGTGGCGTGGTTAGTGCGGAAGAGTAAATAAAAAAATTAATTAATTACTCCTATTTAGAAGAGTTTTAAGTTTAAACTCCTATTTTGAGGATATGATATATGTTTTACTCCTATTTAGGGGGTTTTCTTTAATTCCATACCAAAAAAAGAATATCACGACTCACTATTTAAAAATTATAAATTTTTTTTATTTATTTGTATCAACTACTCCCATTGTCCCCCAGTTTTTGTCTACTTTTGACTTTTGGAACTGTTCATCTAAACACTTTGACTCATCAAATTCTCTCAATGTGTAAGCCTAAATATAGTCATGTGTGATCTTGATTGATTTGTCTTAACATATAGATTATTAATATATAATTTCTATAATTTTTAATATACAAATTACAAGATAAAATGGATTAAAGAAGTGCATTGGATGGTGCGTAAAAATGAAAGTGGACAAATACTCTGGGACGGAGGGAGTATTTGATAAAACAAAATATTTTAGTCACATCTTATTTTGATAAATTTTTGATATAGCTAGCTTTTAAATATCTAAATGTAATTTTTATTTATTTATTAATCTTTATATAAAACTGATAGAATTTAGGGTGGAGTAAGGGTCACTGGATTGGACCATAAGACATTTGCCTCATCAAGATTAAAAGATTGAATCTACTCGATTATTTGTTTCAAATCAATAGCTTATATACCGATTACTTTTCTCTTTAATTTTTGATGTTAGATAATTTGAAACTCCCCATTAACTTGATAATCAAGTGAAAGGATAGGGTAAGATTTTCTAGATTGAGTCATAAGACACTTGACTGAATTCATTAATGGTATGTTTGGGAACATGGATTTGGATTTCAAATCCGGATTTGGCCTAAATTTCATGTTTGGGAAACTTAAGCATTTTAAATTTGGATTTGAATCAAATTCTTTATATTCAAAACAAAGCTTAATTTGAAATCCATGCACCTCCCCTTGTCATTTGAAATTCTGAATTTCAAATTTTGGAATTGAAATGCATGAATTGAAATGAAATGCTAGTTGCCAAACACTACCTAAAAAATTAAATTCAATTTATTAATTACTTAACCCAACTCCAGAAACTATATAGCAATTCTTTTTCTTTTCAAATTCAGATTTGGGATACTTCAACAAGATTGAAGTTTCGCTTGGTTTTGCATGCAAAATTTGACAAATTCTTGGCACCTCCTCTTATTTTGATACACTTTATAATTTTGACGTTTATTTCTTTATTTATTTACCAATCTTTAAATAACATGATTTGAAAAAATATAAAATCGCTCTTAGTTTTATATAACGTGACAAACAATTTGGTATGGAATAAGTATGTCATTGATGACGGCCTTGATGACTAACAACAGGTTATATTATAGACGCCACCGCTTGAGATTTTTGTACTCGATGCTTTGTTTGGATTACAAAAGAATATGAGAAAGAGAGAAAATAATAGGGGGAAGAAAAAAATGTAAAGTAAAAAAATGTGTTGTTTAAATGAAGATCGAGAAAATGAAGATTTTCTTTCTCTTGTTTGAAAAAAAGAGAAGAAAGCCATAGGAATAAAATGTACGGAGTAATCAGTTTTATGTTCGTATAATGAAATAATATTGAATTTGTATCACGTTTAATTTAATGACACAGCTGGGAGAGTATATATATATATATATATATATATATATATATATATATATATATATATATATATATAGGCACGCATGTATACTAGTAGCTCCTTTGTGACCAAACTAACTAAACCCTTATCAGCTTCCTTTAACTGCATATAATGGCGGCTTCCTTCGTGACTCGGCTAAGCCTGGGCATAAGCATA